TTTAACTCTCTCCCTGCCACACTCTGGCTTTCTGCGAATTGGGTGTGAATGAGCTGGAATTAACGGCACTGTTTGTTATTAAGTGAGGATGTGTATTATTTGGTGCATAAACAGGAGCCAAAGCTTTCACCCGGTCTTCATTTAAACATACACACACCCTGTTTCTCTGTCTGCCTCTCTGTAAGGGGCCCCTCTTATCACATGACCATTCTGTTTTTGTGCTGCAGTGTCGAGTGCAATCGGCCGTGAGAATGTGGCTCCACACATCAACACACTAACGGACACAATGTCAGGGGCCAACTGCTCTGGCATATTTACTGTCCTATGGACATACGGGATGAGCCTATACAGGAAGGGAGAATTTATTTACCAATGTCACTAGTTTTAAACAACAAATAGCTGTCCACAGCCACATTGGTTGGGGACTTGGGTTTTGTTTGCCCTCCTGAGAAGGTTAAGACTTCCAGGGGGGAGAGGCATTAAGCTGGCCCAGAGAAGCAATTAGAGCCTGGGGATGATGTTTAAAAATGAATGAAATTCCTGTGCAGGGTAGACAGCCTGTGAGAATATGAAGCAAGTCTCCCCCTTCCCCCAACCCTTTACTCTACTTGTTTCATGGAGCACCGCTAACAGCACATTTATACACGGCCCCTTTAAAGCACTCCGTGTAAAGAAGGCTTAAATCATTTTAAGACACTTTACTTGCCTGTAAAAAAAACAAACATTGGTTGTAGATATATTACTACTTGACAAGCATGCTACTTTGTTCTTTGGCGACAGCACAGCCCTGTCATACGCCGGCTAAGGCATGAGGCCAGTTCACTCCAGGCCTCCCCTTAAACCAGCAGCCCTCTCTCAAAAACTCACTGCAGTTGGAGTGTGTCAGAGTGGACAGAGTTCTCATAAAATACTCTTACAACAGGTAGACTCCATCTAGGGCTTTTGTGTATGCAACGGCCGGCGCATAAACACACGCATACTCACTCAATCCAAACCTGTCCGCGTTTATGGCCTAGCACTCAGTTACTGGAATGTGCCATCCCACACAGCACAGCGCTGCAAGAGGTCATAACTCAGAAGGAAGCTTTCAGTTTATGAAACCGTGCTGAGTCCAGCGGCTTTTATCTCCCGAATTTACATGTGTGTGTGTGCACTGCTTGTTTCAGTTTATAGGAATACTGTTGGCTTCCTCATATGCTTGGCCCCAGCTGACTTACTGACTGTGCAGTTGGCTTGTCTTCAACTAAAACCCAATCTTAAAGCCAAATGACGTAATAAAAGCAGGTTTTACATCTGTGTTTGAAACAAGGAAGTGTAAGAATGCTGCACTGTTCACTGGACAGTTGAATACCATTCAAAGGGCATCAGACTACAATATCAGCTCAATCACAATGCTATGATGACAAGAGAGCATGTTTGAAAAAGCCACTGGGATGTTTTGAATTTTACCTCTTGCAACTCAGCCCTTGCCTTTTGATTTAAACAGACACACGTCTTTTGCTTTGAAACATCACCATGACAATAAGGTAGCTGTTCATGAGGACAAAAAGCAGTTATTCAACACACCTTTACTGGCAGAATTAACTGGATTCCAGTGAGGTCACTCAAGTTCACATTTCTGAAACTAACAGCAGTTTAACTGTAGGTGTCAGAAAATGACAAACACTGAAGCTCTGGTGTAACCAACACAGTCAGAATTTAGACAGTACGTGACCCCCTGACCTCAGAAACCAGAGTGTTGTGACCAAAGGCAGCAGGACTAAGCTGAGATAAGAAACAGAGTCGTATGTAAACGAGCTCACGTGGGATTGCAGGGAGCACAATGAGCAGACTGTTATGCTAGCAGTAAACTCAAACAAAACTGAATTTGGCCTGCTCTCAACACCAACTGGCTGCAGCTCCAGGTGTTTGGTTAAAGGCACCTAAAGCAGATCAGGTTTCTATATGTTCCCCAAAAATAAAAATAGTTTTAGTTAAAACTAAAAAAATGTGGCCTGCAGCCAATTTGGGACATTGTTAAGCTGTTGAATGTAACTAAACTCCTTGTGCAAATGTTTCAACAAGTTTGGTTGAATCTGACTTTGGTGGTACTTTTTATGGTTGTAAATATGTTTTCTTTTCTCCAATATTTTTCTTGTAAAAGTATTCTACGGGGAATTTAATTTAAAGTACATTGATGGCCTCACTTCACACAGATTTTACTAACAGTCATTGTTGAGTAAGCTCTTCACCCACACAACATTTACAAAATCCAGGTGGCAAAATAAGCTGGGGTTTGTGTAAGGACTTAACTGTGTACTAGTGAGCTACAACTGTGGCTTGATTTGACCATATATTGTATACATATATGTGCCTTTTCGCAATCATAATGCTTGCCGCTCAGGAGAGTTTTTACAAAAGGCTTTTATGTCTGTCTGGATGTCAAAGTGATCACTGTCCAGGATTCGTCAGAGACTTTGTTCTTTAGAAGCCCAATGAGTCATATTTCTCCCTTCACACCCAAGTTTTGCATGAGT